GCAGCCGGCGGGGCGTGAGTGCCCGGCGGGCGCTTCGCTTTGCCCCTCGTGGGTCCGTCAAGGCCTCGGGCCGAGCTCGCCAGCCTCGTGTGCCTGACGATGTCCAGAGTGCGATGATGGACGACGCGCTCCTGGCCGCGGCACCCGGGCGAGCCCAGAGCCTGCTTAGGAGGCGGTGGCCGGAGCCAGCTGGGGCCTGGGACTCGGGTCTGGCTGCCCTTCCTCTGGAGCGCCGCAGCCCGCTGCCACCTCCCCGCCCCCCGGCAGTACCACACGGCACCACCGATGGCTGAAGAGGAGACAGGCCAAGCCAGGCCACACTGGAGCCTGGACGTCGCCCCAAGGGCGGCCTCTGCTGCGCAGACCCAAAGCCACCCCCACCGCCTCAGGAAGGCCTGGCGCTGCTGCGCCTCGCGCGGACCGGTCTGCGGTCTGCCGGGGATGCGCCCGCGGCCAGTGCCTGCGGGGCTGGGGGGCCTTCTCTGGCCTCCGGCAGTGGGGAGCTGGCCAAGGCAGCAGCTTGTTTCCCCGGGCAGCGCCTGGTGAGGGTCGGCCAGGCCGTTCCCTCTGGAAGCACTGAGCCAGCCTGGGCCTTCTCGCCGCTCCATCAGGGCGGCCTGCGAGTGGTCCTCACGGGTGTCCCAAGCCGGTGCCTTCAGTAGACCGGCCAGACCCTTGGGCTTCTGGGGTGCCGCTGGGTGGCCTGCCTGCGGGTGCCAGCCCCAAGTTGTGCAGCGAGCCATCCAGCCTCCCCACGCTCACACCTGTCTTACGCCCTTGTCTAGTGTCCAGCTGGGCAAAGCCCTGGCCTCCCCAGCCGCCCTTCACGCTCTTTCGCCCCTTGACCCCGCACCTCTGACTGACGGCGAGATCTTTCCCCATGCCCAGCAGGCAGGGTCCTTCCACTGACGGGGTCTGGGAGGTGGGGCCGGGCCGTCCCTCCTTCCCGCCCCCACCCAGCCCATCCAAAGTAGCCTAGCCCAGTAACTGCCTGCTCCCCACAGCAGAGGCCTGCCTGGAACCCCAGATCACCCCTTCCTACTACACCACTGCCGATGCCGTCATCTCCACGGAGACGGTCTTCATTGTGGAGATCTCCCTGACGTGCAAGAATAGGGTTCAGGTGAGGCAGTGGGGGTTCAGCCAGGACAGTGCCAGGGGCCTGTGGACAGTGAGAGCAGGGGATCCAGTCCAAAGGTGGGAGATGCCCAGCCCCACGAGGCCCCAGCAGCAGGTGTCTCAGATAGTTTCCGAGTCTCCAGGGCCTGCTTTGCCACGCGCCGCATAGATGGACACGTCGTTGACCCTTGAAAAGGGTACGAGGGCAGCCACGCTCTGTCCAGGCCCCACACCCATTCTGGTTGCTCTCTGCTGAAGTGTGTGTGTCCGTGCAGGTGTGTGGTAACGCCAACACTGAGCCCACCTGGCCTCTGCCCCTAACTCCAGCTTGCATCTTGAAAGCCCCAGGAGGAAAGTTGGGCCTTTTGGGGTACAATGGTCCTCGGGTGGTGTTTTGGGTGCCCCCTGGCCCCTACACCCCCTTCTAGCCTCACAAGTAACAACACTTGGGTCATCTGCTCCTGCTCAACCAACAGGCTTGCTGCGGGTTGGGTGGGCCAGGCCATGGTCTGTGTGACCACCCCCGGGGACAAGCAGGGAGGCAGTGACAGCGTGGCGGGCGTGGGCCCGACCCAGCTCCAGCTTACCAGGTCTGGCCCGTGGTTTGCGTGCGGTGCCCCTTGCCAGTGGCACTGCAGTCCTCAGACTCCTCACACAGAGCCTGGGCAGCCCCACGGGGTGTCTGCCACTGCCTGAGAAGCAAGATGTTTGTCTCCCCACCTAGAACATGGCTCTTTACGCTGACGTCAGTGGAAAGCAATTCCCTGTCACCCGGGGCCAGGACGTGGGCCGTTACCAGGTGAGCACAGTCTCGTCCTCATTTGGGGCTGGCCGCCCTCCTGCGTGTGATTGGGAGCCCTGTCCCCATGGAGCAGGTCCAGGTTCTCTCTGACCCAGGCAGCTAGCTGGTTGTGGTGCCATGTCAGTGCTGGTGGGGCGCCCGGAAGCGGCCAGGCACCCATCCTGCAAACGCCCACCCCAGGTGTCCTGGAGCCTGGACCATAAGAACGCGCACGCGGGCACCTACGAGGTCAGGTTCTTCGACGAGGAGTCCTACAGCCTCCTAAGGAAGGTGAGTGTCACCTGGAGCCCTGCACCCAGGCCTCCTGGGCTCGGCCACCTTGCGGCGGCTGCGGCTCAGGCAGCTGCGAGGTGGCTTTCTGTCCGCCATACCCCGTGTCTCTTGTGGCTTCTCCCCCACAACTCGGTCAAGTTCCTGCCCCCTCCCCCTCGTCAGGCACCCACTGACCCCAGCACCTCACTTGCAGGCTCAGAGAAATAACGAGGACATCTCTGTCATCCCACCCCTGTTCACAGTCAGCGTGGACCATCGGGTGAGCGGGCTGCAGAGGCTGGCCAGGGCGGCAGCGGGGAGCAAGAGCTTGGCCCTTGGGGGAGGCAAGCTGAAGGCTGGCTAGCTCACCCATCCTTTCTCTTCCTGCAGGGCACCTGGAGCGGGCCCTGGGTCTCCACCGAGGTGCTGGCCGCAGCCGTCGGCCTAGTGATCTACTACCTGGCCTTCAGTGCCAAGAGCCGCATCCAGGCCTAAGTGTGCCCTGGCCTCGCGTCTCTCAATAAACAGTGCTGGCTCTCACGAGCATGTTCTGGACACAGCTTGCTGGCCTGACTGTGCCTGCCACACCTGGGCTTGAACCGTGCCGCCATCCACCCGCCTTTATCCACGTGGTGGCGTGGGCAGTGGGGTTGGGCTGACTGCAGTCCAGTGCTCGCCTCCTCTCCCCCGCCCCAGGTTGGAGTGCGTTCTTCTCTGTGGCAGGTTCTCCTTCCTGGCTGTTGGCAGGGCTTGGGCAGGGTCTGGAGTCACCCTCCCCAAAAGGCATGCCGGACTGAGGTCGGCTGTGGCCTAAGCAAGGCAACCCTGTGACCGCCGGCCGTTGGGAGGGTGACTGCCTGGAGGAGGCCAAGGGCCCTTCCCAGCAGTTGACAACCCACGTGGGACACCAGCACCTTACCTGTGGGGTGGCTCCCGTGTCTGGGGCCTCATAGCCACATTTGGAAGTCCCTTCCCTGCCCAGCGCTGGGAGCACAGACCTTGCTGCTAGGCTTACAGCCAGGAACCCACACAGCCTTCTGAGGGGGGCCAGCCTACCCCCACCACCAAGTGCTGTCTGGGGCTTGCCTAGGGATGGGAGGAAGGGAGGACCCCGGTGTCTCTCCCAGCAGCCTTTTTCTGCTGCGGAGCCTGCGGCCTGCCTGGCCCCCAGCCCAGCTGCTCAGTAGTTGGAGAGCTGCTGTGTACTGCGAGGCGCCAGGGGATTGCCAGAGGGCAGGCGCCTCCAGAAAGCTGCTGCAAGGGAAGGGTCACTAGGAGGGGCGGTGCCCTCCCTCTTGGGCAGCCTGGGCCACTGCCAACGCACTGGGGTTTTTGCATTCCAAAGAAGCTCAGGCTAGGGGGTGCCCGTGGGGCTGGGGACTGTCTGCCACCCAGTACTCCTGGGACCCACACGGCCAGGCCAAGCCACAGGACCAAAGGTGGTCGCTGCTCTAGGGCGCCTGTGGTCAAGGGCTGCCGCCCGCTGGCACCACCTCTCCCAGGGCCCGGAAAGAGGTCTGCTGCTGGCCTGTCAGCCTGTCCTGGCCCCAGCAGGGAGCAATGGGAGCCAGCAATGCCTTGCAGCAAGCATCACTCCCCAACGGGAGTGCCCAGGGGTTGCGTGTCTGTGGCCCTGCCCATCTGGGGGGGGCGCCTGACCAGGGAGGGTGTGTCAGCACCAGCGGCCACAGAGTTCTTTCCTGGGCCCCAAGCAGCTTCCTGGGCGCACAGGCCAGGCTTCCGCCTACGCCCACCAGGGCTTCACTGCCCTATTCACAAGCGGCCCACAGCCCAGTCAAGGGGATTTGCATGCCTTCTTGCCCTTCACAATGATCCTAGCCCAGAAGCCAGAGCTCTGCCACAGCCTCACTGCCCCAGGGGGCCTTGCTGCCCCTCGGGGTGCCTCCCACAGCAGGTCCCACCTCCCGCCTCATGCGGAGCAGCTGGGGGCTGATTGGCTGAGCAGCAGCCAGTGGCACTGGGCTGTTCCGACCCCACGCGGTGCCCACCCCTCTCCCTGGCACTGTGGACATGCCCTATAAGGAGAGTATTTGTGCCTTCCTAGAGCTGCCAGCTCATTGTCAACTGGGGTTCTTCCTGGGCTAGAGGCAGGGGGCCCAGTCCAGCTGGGCTCCCAGAATGCACCGGAGGCCTCCGCCACAAGCCAGCGGCAGGTGCCATCAGGCCTCCACCATCCTCCCTACACGCTGTGACTGTCCTGCCCCCAGTGCTCAGGGGGCGACCACAAGCCCTGCTCCAACTGCCCTTGCCCCCTCCCCCATTGCTGCCTGCTGCCTCCACCCCAGCCCACGTCCTTTCCTCGGCATGAAGAGCAAACACAGAACGCACACAGGAGACCAGGAGTGGTAAGAAGGCAGCTTGCTTTATTTTCACGACGCCGGCAGGGCAGGGTGGGCAGACGCTCACGCTTCTGCCACTGGGGCGCCACCTGGGGTGAGCACAGGCCCGGCAGCCCTCCCAGGTTCTCTCCCCAGTCGAAAGGAGACTCTGCTGCTTCTGCGATTACCCCTGCGCTGCCTCCCAGACCCCCCTGGCCCCAGCATCCCCTCGGGCCACCCAGGTGGCATCAGAGGAGACCCAGGCTCAGTCATTTCTTGGGTGAACGCTGTGCCCTCAGTCCCCTATCTCAGCTCGCTCCCCCTTGGTCTCCAGGGAAGGAGGTAGCCCCCAGGTGAGCCTTGCAAGCCCTGCAGAGGCGCCCCCCAAGCCATTCTCCCCTTCTTCCCGCCCCTCCCCTCCCACTCCCCAACCCACCCCTCTTCCTCCCCCCACCCACCTCCTTCCCAGTCACCACTCCGGGATCCCCGCTTTGTCAGGCTGCCCGGGGAGCTGCGGGCCCCCAAGCAGGCCCACACCACAGAAAACAAGGATTGGCAAGCACAGACGGGGGGGGGGGGGGGGGGGATCACGAAACCCAGGCCGCCTTGTCTACAAGTAACCACCTGAAAGTGGCCGGTCTCTTGTGCTTGAGGCAGCCTGTCCTCCTTGCACTCCTCCTCGGCTCCTCCAGTACCCCAAGTCCCCATGGGGTGTGCTCAGGGCTCATGAGACACGCACACAGCTGAGGGGTGTCCGGCGCGCCTCCCCAGGGATTCTCTGGTGGCACAGACACACCAGACCCGAAGGGAGGGAGGGAGCCCGGCCGGGCGCCTCAGACGGTGGTGACGGAGAGCAGCGGGTTGTAGACGCGCCTGCCGTCGGCTGAGCGCGCGCCGTGGGCCAGCATCTCCTGGATGGTGATCCAGTTGTCCAGGATCTTCTTGTTCCGCTTCTTCATGGTCTTGCGGTGGCTCAAGGCGATGATGTTGAGCTCGGCCTTGCCGTCGGCGCCCTGCTGCTCGCGCAGGCACTCCAGCCGGCTCTGCATCATGAACTCACGCCGCTTCCGCTGCTCGCGGGCGCGGATGAGGTGCTGCTTGCGCTCCTCCTTGCTCCAGTAGCGCCCCATCTTCATCTCGCTCACGGCGTCGTCGTCGGTGGTCATGCCGCTGCGCTCCTCGCGGATCTTCAGGGCCCGCGCCTTCAAGAGGCGGTCACGCACCGGCCGCTTGGCCACGTAGCGGGTCCCATCGCTGCGCACCTTCACCTTCCACTCCATGCGGGGTGCTTCGGAGGCTGCCACCGCGCCACCCACTCGGGGGCCGCCGGCCAGACCCAAGGGGCCGTGGCCCAGCTCCTCCAGGCCGCGTGGCGGGGCCAGCTGCATGCAGCTGTGGTACTGCTCACTCTCCTGGCCCGGGCCGCGGGGGCGACGCGACAGGTAAGGGCTGCCTTCGGGGCCCCCGCGCTCCAGAGTCACCCCGGTTTTGGGGCCACGGCGCGCCCTCTCCTCCGAGTGCTGTCTCCGGCCCACCTCGGGATCCCGTGAGAGCGATCGGAACTTGGCGGGGCTGCCCGGTGGCAGCGCCGTCTTGGGGTGGCTGCTGACGGGGGCCCCGCAGGGGGCCCGGTTCACGCTGGGGTTGCCCGCGGCAGCCCGCCGTAAAGGGCTCTCGGGCAGGGGTTCCGCAAGCAGCGGGGTGCTGCGGCAGCTCTCCCCGGTGTTGTAGGCGCTGGTGCTGTCCTTGTCCGACTTCTCGGGCAGCTCGGAGATGTCCGACAGCTCGTGCTTCTTCGGCTCGCCGGCGCCCGGGCCGTACAGGCTGTCCTCCTCCAGCAGCCAGGCCTTCATGCAGCGCTCCCGCAGCTGCTGCATCTTCTGCGCCCGCAGGATGTTGCGGCACTTGAACTCCAGGTGTCGCAGCTCCTCCTCCAGCATGGCCACCTCGTGGCCCAGGCTCTCGTTGCGGTTCACGTCCAGGGCGCCGTCGCCAGCGGAGGCGCGCGGGAAGAGGAGGCCCAGCGGGTTGCCGTTCTCCAGGTGGCACTTGATCTCCAGCAGCTCCCGGTAGCGCTCATACTCCGCGTCGGTGAGCCCAGGGAGGTCGCCCCCGCCCAGCCCCGCGCCCTCGGCCAGCAGGGAGTCCATGCTGAAGTGGAAGTCGCGGCTCTGCAGGGCGTCCCCCTGCAGGCCGAACTTGCGCAGGCTCCCAGGGGTGTTGGTGGCGCTCAGGGGCTCGTCCCCGAGCAGGTCGTGCTCGGAGCTCTCCTCGTTGCGTGTGCTCTCGTCGGTGCGGCCCACCCCACTGTCCAGCTCCTGGCTGTTGCTGAGGCCGGGGCCTGCACCGGGGGCCCCTTGCTCCTCTGCATTTCCAGGCTAGGGCGCAAGGACGAGCCCCACTCAGACTGGGGCCAAGGGCACCCGGGGGATCAGCACGAAAAGCGCGTGGCGAGCTGGGCCAGTTCCCGCACCCACCTGCCCTCCACACGTGCCCATTCTCCTTCCTTACCTGCTGGGCAGGTGGGGATTGCAGCTTCCGCGCGCGCAGGTCCCCCTCGTTCTCAGAGCCAAAGTCATCCAGGAAGTCATCCCGGTCACTGTCCTTCCACCGCTTCGCCAGCTGCAAAGACGGAGCTGGCCTGTCCCCACCACCTTGGCTGCCTCCCCCAGGCACTTCTGGGCCCCCAGCTGCAGGCCCGGTGGTCTTGTGGTCTCACGGATGGTGACCACCAGAAGGCACTCCCAGCCTGCTGGGCCACAAAGGCCAGAGAGAAACGAGCCCAGGGATACCGCCGGCCCCGTCGGTCTCGAAGGGCAGCTGCCCACGCCCTGTCCAGACCCACCAGTGCCAAGACACAGAGTCTCGGGTTGGGGCCAGACGCCCTGCTGGGCACACCCACCTGGCTCTCGGGCCGGGCCACCAAAAGGGAGATGTTGGTGTTCTCCTCCTGGCTCAGGATGGCCACTGCCTCCTCCCGGTTCTGCACGTCCACGCCATTAATCTGTGGCGGGCAAAGAGAATTCATCACCAAGGATGCCAGGGCGGGCCCTGGATCACAGGCAGGGGGCGCGCAGGAAGGGGGCCGCCTGCGAAAGGAGCTGGGAGGACAGCCCAGCCTGGCAGGACTGGCAGGAGCACTTGTGTGCCTGGGCAGCAGGAAGACGGAGGCTCACACCGACGGACGGAGGGAGAGGCTCCGTGGGGCCAGGTGGGCGACCCGTCTGAGTCTCTGGCGGGTGGGCAGGTGCCTGCTTACCTGGACGATGCGGTCCCCCTCGCGGATCCGGCCATCTTTGGCTGCAATGCTGTTGGGGTTCACCTGCAAGACACAGGCAGCATGGGCTCCACGCCCTCTGCTGAGGGCCCTTTCGGGGGGAAGGAGGTCACCCCGCCTCAGGGGCACCCAAAGCAAACTGGAGACTTCTGCCAGCCCCAACTCCAGGGGGCGGGGACACAACAGCACCCGGGCGGGCCTGCCTCTCCCCAGCAGGAGTGGCCCACCTGCCGCCCAGAGCTCCCAGGCCCAGGCTGGCACCCGCCTTGGGTACGGAGTCCTAGCCTTCCTGTGTCAGGGCCGGACAAGCCAGGGCAGCACAGACAGCAGCCCGGCACAGTGGAGAGCTGTAGGGGCCCGCGGGGGTGTGGGGTGTGCAGGGCGGTGGCGAGGGTTCCCTGCTGAGGACCAGGAGGGCGTGCTGAGAGCACAGCCTGGCCTGGGGCACAGGTGTTCCCAGAAAGACGCGCCTGGACTGCGCCGAAGCCGTGGCCACCCTGACCTCGCCCACAGCAGCCTGTGGCCCAAGGGCCGTGGCCCTGGCAGCTGAGTCTCAGAGCCCTGGGCGGTGCGGAGAGCGCAGGAGGTGCCGACCGCGGGCTCTTCACCTGCCAGACCCTGCCCGCCTGCCGCCGCACCGCGCTGTGCCCCTCGCCAGTGCTGTCCAGATGGGCCAGCAGAGTCCAGCTTCGATGGCCCAGCACAGGAAGGCAACAGTCTGCTCCCGCAGACTCCGCCAGCACGCAGCCCTCGTACCTCTCCAACGTAGATGCCCAGGTCCTCCTCGTCGTCTGTGCGGTAGCACACCATGAGGCCCAGCTTGTCCCGGTGGCTGGTCTTGCACAGCTCCACCTCCTGCCACAGGGTCCGGAGCAGAGGCAGAGCCCCGGAAAGTAAGGGGCGCGTGAGCTCTGCAGAGGCGGCCGTGGCCAGCCCCATGCCAGCCGCACCTCACCTGCCCCGCACATCACCTGAACTGAGCGCGCAGCCCGGGCTTGGCGGTGTCCTCACCGTCCCAATGGCTACCAGGAGAGGCCCGGACACAAACGGGGCACACGGAACGCAGACATGCGTGGCACACAGACTCACCATACAGACGGACCACGAGACTCACCCGCGCCCGCCCCGACTCAGGCGGACACGGCGTTGAGCCGAGCACGGGCCACGCACCGGGACGGGCCGCAAGGCCTGGCCACCCGGGCGGCAGGAGCCTGGCCGCCTGGCTCACCTCATACTCCAGCTCGTCCGCACGGTCTGCCTCCTGCGGGCTGCCCTCCATGAACTCCGCTGGGTCATAATACTCATGGCTGATGGGGGGGCTGCCCAGGAGAACGGGGTCAGGTGGACCGCGGTCTCCTCTCACGTCCCCGTCGCAGTCCCAGGCACGCAGCGTGGGGAGTCCTGCTCTGGGCGCCCAAGTGCCGGGCCACATGCACCCATGCAGAGACCGTGTCCAAGGGCTGGCTGCGGGTCCTGGCGCGCCCAGCCCAGCCCACCCTGCTGCACCCCGTCTCCAGAGCCACTTCCTCACCACGCCAGCTGGCAGGCACCCCTCCCGCCCAGCACTGGCCCACTCAGGTGATGCCCCAGGCGCTATCCAGGCCCCGGGGCTGCGGGCAGGAGGACCCAGGCCTCCAGGGGCCGCCTTGCCCAAGGCTCGAGCAGCAGCAGGAGTCAGCGCTCACGGCCCCTCTGAGTTGGCCAGGGAAAGAAGTGGGAAGATGAGGCGTGCAGGGCAGGGACAGGAAGGGCAAGACAGGGCGCGAGAAGGTTCAGAGGCTGACGCTGGAGAGGCAGAAGACGACGGGCGGCAGAGGACGGAGGGCGGGGTAGGAGGGCTGAGCCTGCAGCCTGCCAGCAGCGAGAAGGGGCAGTGCTCCCCGGGCCTGTGTGCCAGCCTCCCGGCCCCATCACCAGCTGGTGCCCAGCCTGAGGCTAGAGGCCCGAGGGCTTGCGCCCTTGGGTGCCAGTCAGTTCTGGAGGCCAAGGGGCCTCCTTCCTGCCCAGATGGGGTCTCCCTGCCATGCCCTGCGGGGCGGCAACGTGGCCTGGGCATGGTGGCCCCAGGGCGTGGGCCCTCCTGAGGGCGACTCACAGCTCAGACAGGACGTCCGGCTCCAGGATGACCATGGGCGGGGTGGGCGGGCGCAGCTTGCCCAGCGCCATGATATGCTCGAAGGAGATGTCAGTCTGAGTGCCGCTGTCCACCAGCTGCAGCTCATGGCAGGCGCTGCTCCCCCGGAGGCGGGGGCTGCGTCTCAGCACCTGGATCACCAGGGGCTCCTTGGAGGAGCGCAGGGCCTCCAGGGTTTGCTCCTGAGACAGCTTGGAGAGCTCCTTCCCGTTCACCTGCGGCAGAGACACGCTCCGTGAGGCCTGCCGGCCGCACCCGCCTGCTCCGCCGGGAGCCTGCTGTCCACTGCTGGGCGCCTCACTCCTGACAAGCGCACGCCTCAGCGCCATCCCCACGCCATGCTGGCTGGGAGCGCCAGGCCAGGGCTGGAGCACCCCTGAGTGCTGGCAATTGCTCGTGCTGGGCCTAACTCGGGGCAGCACAGACCAGAGCTGGCAGCACCGCAGGGCAGCGGGCTCCCCAGCCGTGAGTGGACGCCGAGCGGGCATGGGCAGCAGCAAGGCAGTGGCCACCCTGCGCTCTGCGCGGCAGGCCTCCGCCGGCACACGGGTTCAGGAGGCAGAGAGGCGAAGGGTGAAGACCTGAAAGGTAGGGTGTCACCCTCAAGGCAGCGAGCGCCTCGCTAAAGAGAAAGACCAGGCACACATGGCCATCAAGGCGGCCGAGGCCGCAGGAAGCTGCCTTATCAAACCCTACCACTTCCCGGGTCTCCCCTGGCTCCGGACGCCTCCACCCCAACAAGCCAAAGCAGGCTCGGCAGGAAGGAAATGAGAAAACGTCGCGCCTCCAAGCCTCGCTGTGGAGGGACATCAGAGGCTACAGCGGCCCCAGGCCGAGGGAGGAGAGCCGATTTCCGGCCCAGCTGCGTGGAGCAAGGAGTCCCTGCGGGCGTGATGCCAACAGCCCAGTAAGGCGCCAGGGAGAACAAGCTCCAGGCCTTGGGCAGGCAAAGTTACCACCCAGCACTGCAGCCTGAGGCCCTTGTGGCAGAGGTGAGGGCTGAGGAGGAAGAGCCGCAGGAGCTGAGGGCGAGCATGCTGCCCGAGTGGGAAGCTGGAAGCAGTTCCGGGAGCGGGACGGCTGGCTCTCCTCATGCCCTCGGCAGCTTGTGAAAAGACCAGAGGCGCCAGACCCCCCAGGGGCTGCCTTCAGCGCTTCAGTGCCAAAAACGCCAGGGAGGGCGCTGGCGGACAGGGGGTGCAGGGCGGGTCGGGTGGGCTCCCTGGTGGGGGGGCACAAAAGTCATGGGAGAGGCATGGCTGCTTGCAGACAGTGCCAGTGGGCGGGCCTGGCACGCGCAGGGCAAGACACTTAGTCGCCACTGGCCTGAGAGTTCTCGCAGTGACGCCTCCCCCCCCAGGTTTCCACTAGTTCACTGTGGAGCATTTGAATACGCAGAGAACCGCGAGGAAGCAAGACTTGCACAAGCCCAGGCCCGTGGGAATACCGCACGCCTGGCGACCTGTTTTCTTCTGGGCTTTTCTAACTGCTACTTGACTGTCGCACACTGCAGGCCCTGCCCCCAGGCCTGGAGCACCCAGGCCCACTGTCGACTAGTGAGGTGGTTTTCAATTGGGTTATGGTAAGAAGGTCGCAGGACCCATTTCGTGTGTGTATGTATTTTCCAGTCTGTCTTTGTGCACGCTGCGGCTGGAGAACGTTGCGGCCTGTCGCTGGCTCAAAGAGAACGCAGGACACCGCTCGCTGGGCAAGAAGCTGCAAGATTCCAAACAGTTACGTCAGCAGGTCAACACCGGGTGGAGGCCCAGGCGAGCTGCTGGCCAGAACCAACTGAACAAACGCGCCCTCTGGGGAATGGCCGCAGGCACTCCAAAGGGTGCGGAAGGGAGGGGCAGTCTTGGCCTGCAAGCCCTAAGCAAGCCTGAGGCCTTTGACGTCATCAGGAAACGTCATGGCAAAATTACATACAGCTCCGCCAACATTTCCAGGGTACAACTCACAAGGAAATGAATTCTGTCAAAAACAAAGGCGAGAAACGCTCAGAACTCGGGGCTTCCCACTCGTGACGGCGCGTTGCTGTCACCTGGGCGCACAGGCCCCCTGCCACAGGGTCGGTGACACCTGCATCCGCACCCCTCCGAAGCTTGGCTTCCCACCCAAAACACTGACCAGCTCCCTGCCTAACTCAAGGGCTTAACCTCTCCTCAGCATCTCCAAGGGGAGGCGGTGTCCCCAAACTCCCGGAGCAGGGTGACAGGGTGGCAGGACATTCGGGTGACCCCGACACCTGAATGGCTTCTCCCCAGCATGGTTACCCAGCAGCAATGTTGCCACAGAAACCAGGCCGTGGCGGGAGCAGAGGGGAGGAGCAGGTTGGGGTGTCGAAGGGGGGTGGGCACACCCACATCCTCAGCACCTCAGATGGGACCATCAGAATGATTCTGTGACAGTGCTGAACAGGCAGATGTTGGGGTACCAGGTGAGCACCTCAGGCCCCCCAGTGTCCTCTCCTCTTCATCGGCCATTGTGCCCAAGAGCCAGTGAGGGTGGTAGAGACTGGCTGAGACAGGAAGTGATCCCTTACAGGAGCAGGGCTATGAGCAGATGGGCAATATGGGGCGAGCGCTAGCAGCCCGTCAGGGGCCCCCACTCAGCAAAAGGCCCTTCCTGCCCCGTCCCACCCCAACCCATGGCAAGAAGAAGAGAAACACACAACCTCCCGCAAAGCCAGCGCCGGACCGGCCCTGACCGCCAGATCGCCGGAAGATCTCTGTCCATCCAGCTCCCAACAAGCCTGAGCCCGGGATGTCCCTCAAGCTGCCTGCAAAGATCTACACATTGGAGGACACCCCAGAAGGTCACCCCCACAGCCCTGCACGTGCCACTTTAGAGACGGGCCACCTTTTGACGTTGACACAGAACTCCTCACAATCAAGAAAATGGACACCAGGAATGGGAAGGGGACAAAATGGACAGTGCATGAAGCGGCCGAGGGCAGAGGAAGAGGCAACGCCCACAGCGGCCAGCGCGCGGCTGCAGGCGAGGGATCCCACGGCGCATGGAGAAACAAGGAGAGCAGAGCAAGGTGGGCACGCTGGCGACAGGGCACTGCCCTCCAGGACCCACACAGTGGGCCCGGAATGCAGGCCCTGGAGGGCCAGGCTGGGTGCCTCTAACTCCTGTGTGTAAAGGGTCAGGGCCTCCCTGGGGGCGCAGGTGTTAAGTCTCAGCACTGTGAAGCTGTCACAGCTGCCTTCCATCCCCAGCCAGGAGTGACCCACAGGGCAAGCAGAACCCCCACCAGTCTCCCTGCCGCCCCCTCAGCAGTGGGTTTCACTGGATCTGCCTGTTCAGCTCCCCACTCTGTCTCTGGGGGGTCCTCTGACCCCCACACACCTGGCCCGCACCCCAGCTCTTGTGTACATCAACAAATACATCCTTTACAAGAGCAAGGCTCAGGCCTGCGGTCCCCGGCCCCACGCCACAGAGCACCTGCAGAGGTGGCCGGGTCGGGGAGACCGGGGTGGCGGGTGTGGAGGCGGCTCTTGCTTGTCACCCATCAATAGATGGGTGAGCCCAAGGGACTGGCTGCATGCTGGGGGGACAGAGGTCTGGCCCGCGCGGCTCGACACACGGCGGGGAGACGGTCCCCAGCGTGGCGAGTGGTGACACTCCACGTTGGGTTACTGCTTTAGCGCTGTTTACAAGGCCAAGCGGTCGGGCTGCACTGACAGCTTTCCACAGCGCAAGTTGCGGGTCCCCGTTGCACAGTAAGGAGACTGAGGCACGCAGGGATTTGGCTGGGCAGACCCAGGACCCTGCGCAGGGCGCGGCCTCCACTGGACAGCAAGGGCTTTGAGGCTTGGGGGATGGGGCACGGACAGCGAGGGCCGGGGGCGGGGAGAGGAGGGTTGTGGGAGCCTGGCACGGCCTTGGCGCGGGAGTGGGCTATGTGGTGGCTGGAGTACTATGTAGCTGGGCCGGGGTGGGGCGCCTCCATGAGCTCGCACTGAACCCTCCACTCCCACAGAGGGTTCTTCCCTGCCCAGAGCTATCTCTCTCCTCCAGTCCTCCTGGTGGGCAATCAGTGACCCAGTGCCTGCTTATCTGGGAGGATCTGCCTTCATGTCGTGCCCACTCAGCTCAAAACCAGGCCTCAGAGTTGCGCTCACTGCCAGGGCCCCGCCCACGCCGTGCCTGACAGAGACACAGGCGCCACAGCCAGCATCCCAGGCAGGGGGGCCCAGACAGCACAGGGCCCCCGCGGCCCTGCAGGCCTCAGAAGCCTCAGAAGCACAAGTGGCAACTACCGCATTCTGCCCTGAGGGTAGAGGGAAGGTCAAAGGGCCACAGACCCCCTACGTCTGGTTTCCCCTCTGTCCCACAAAAAGGCCAGGGGCACCTGAGGGCAGAGGCGGGCTGCTGCTTTGCCCAGAAGGAATCACACATGGGGATGTGGCCCAGGGAACCCTGTCAGCTGCCCGGGGCCTCCAGCTCAGGAAGCAGCAGACTGGTGCCAAGCCACCATTGTCTGAAAACTTACCAGTGAAGTTTCCTGCAGGGCCCTCCCTGGTGGCGCAGCGGGTTAGAGCGCAGCACTGAGCAGCTACAGCCACTTCAGCATGAGTGTGACGGCCCCCCCCCCGAGGTGACCCCCAGGGCGCAGCAGACCTCTCCTGACCCGCCCGCTGCTCCCCTCAGCAGTGGACTTCGTCCGTGGGCCTGTCCTGCGCCCGCTCTGTCTCTGGGGAAGCCTCTCGCCGCCCCTGCGCCTCTGGCCTGCGGCTCGAGTCTGCACTGCTCTGGGAGCGACATCTGTCATTCTACAGTGCCCTTGCCGAGGAGCGGCCGAGTCCCAGACCAGAACCTCCCCAACAAAGTGTGCGCTGCACAGCACCCACCAAGCGGTCTCTTGCGATTGCCACAGAAAGCACGTGTTTGTGGGGAAAGGCTGCGGTAGCAGCAACTAGAAAGTTGTGGAAGGAAATGGAAATCTGAGGCATGTTCCTACTTCCCAAACTCCCTGTAACATGGCAGTGTTGTGTTTGAAAATGCTTACAAACTTCAAAACAAAAACAGGCGGCGCAGAGGGTTAGGGCGCAGCGCTGCAAGCCAGCCGCAGCCGCTTCAGTGAGCTCCATCCCTGCCCTGGAGGTGACCCACAGGGCGCAGCAGGCCCCCGCTGCCCCCCTCAGCAGTGGACCTCGTCCATCTTCCTGTTCTGCTCCCCGCTGTCTCTGGTCAATCCCCTCACTG